ACTCATCTTCGTTCATCGCGAATTCGCGATCTTACAAAGTTCCGTTATAATCAATGAAGCTCTCTAAACTGCACAATGAATCTCTTATCTACATCGTGTCATGAGATGATTCAAGAGCGTGCAAAACTGCACTTAAAAACTGCGGCGCTTTCAGCGGTGAGTGAATTCTGACAAAACGTTTCTGATTGGCCATTGCGTTCAAGAAATCAACAGATATGTCTGGGATTGGTTACATTGCGCAACGCTGCAAAAACACGTTGAGGGTATTTAGTGCTTGGCTAAGCGCTCCAATTGCAGCGGGGCCGACATCAGCGATTCCATGACTAACAATTTGCCCCCCCTAATGTCGCCCATGGCAACACCCATACATGAGTGATTTAAACGCCATGAAGAACATCTTCAGGTCATACATCACTCCAAAATCAAAAGAAAAAGTATGATTTTGGGGTGAAATGAGACAATTTTACTACATCCTACTTCCATCGTCCAAGGTTTCTCTTCGCATTTTATTCGACTTGGGTCGGATTGCCAAAAAGGAATCTAAATCTGAGTAAAGTCAAGTGCTTCACCAGCGAAGGCTCAGATTTGCAGATGTTGTCCCGTGTAAACACCATCTGATGATGAGCTCTGCTCTGTTCATCTTCTGATGGATATCAGAAACGGTCTCTCTGTTTTAACCAAGTGGGCTGCTGCGATGTTAACAGTTTTAATGTCATGTTTAACATTATCACACACATGTGGCTGTAACACACCCACCCACCACTCACACACTCACATCTTTCCCACTCCACTCCAGCAGTGAATTATGCAAACCCATTTGGAAAGTGGGCTTTAAGTGAGAGCAGATGTTGGATGTATGCATTAGGCTCAAAAAAGACAAATATAATATTTAAGATCTTATACAAATATTGCATTAACAGACGAATACATTGCCATTTTTGCAATGTAATACCTCCAAACATGATCTACACTTGCTCACAGATGTTAAAAATCACCCTTTTAATGGCTAAACAAACCCCTGACCCTTAGTATTATACACTTCAGCAATTAACCTGTCCAGAAATGTTTGTGTTACAGACATAAATGATTCCTCAAACCACGCGTCTTGTTGAGGAGAGATGTGCTAGCACTTCTATATGTCATCAGACTAAGCCATTTTGCCTGGAAAACAATACAATGGGTCAAAAACTCTGAGACTTAGTGTGGGCACTTTTGACTTGAGCAAATGAACAACCACTTAGCAACCACCCAGAACACCCTAAGAACAATCCATAACAGAACATCCTAACAACTATTCCTAGCAACCACATACTGTAGCAATGTGCTAAAATCTGAGAATGGAAATGTGTTTTTAATGCAAACCAAAAACGAATTCACTTCAAGTAAAATTACAAAGTATATGAGCTGAAATGATATGTATTGTGAAAAGCGCTATACAAAATAAACTTTAATTTAAATTAACATATGGTGCTGATTTTTCAGGAATAAAACCGAAAAAAAAAAAAAAAAATAGTGGAATAAATGCTGAAGAAATTCCTGGACAGGATCTTTTATCCTTTCAAAATGCCAAAATCCAGAGATTCATTTTCTTGAATGAGTAAGCCATGGGAAACATGCTAATGTACTGGAGACACTCATTTACTACAAAACAAAAACAGCGTCACATCTTGGACACCAACCAACCACGACAGAGCCAACAAGATAATATCTGAGTTACTCACTTAACTCATTGTTTTAAACTCAAATTAACCCATTAATCCATAATTATTGCAGCATATATGACGACCACACATACAAACTAACCGATAACCCCTACATAAAAAGTCTGTGAGGATCTGTGAGAACTAGATATAACTCTGATGACTTCACTCAGGCCAGCTGTCCTAGAACATCCAGATGTTCAATGTATTTCATGATGCAGAGACATTCATTTATTTATTAGTTGAGGGAGAAGGGCCAACAATGTGGGTTAATTGACCTATCGGTAAGCCCCTCCCCTCGAACGCAGACTAGCCAATGGCAGTCGAGTATCAGTTGCACGGGGAGCGGAACTCGGACATAACCGCGCCATAGAGAAACATTAGAAGATCCAAAGCTCGCATCGATTTTATGGGGTTTATGCTTCAAAAATGGAAAAACGATGTGCCTGGGGTACTTGTACCACTTGATACCAGGTATCCTGAGAGGATAGGCAATAGAATTAATTTTATTCTATTTCCTAAACCCAAACAAAACAGAGCAGTTAAAGTTAGTGAGTCCATGCTAGCGTACAAACCTAAACAGCGAACTGTTCTCGCGTCTTGTACAGTGTAGGGCAAAAACACATAAACTAAGGTCTACATTTCACTGTCTCTTCATATTAAACTGGTTAAATGTAAATTAATTTAATCGTACCCTGTGATACATGAACATGATGTTGTCATCTGCAATCGTGACGACGGCAATATGCGACTTCTCCCGCTTGCATTGTAATCTGTAAACCCTCGCTTCCAAATTAAATACCCACAATATTTATTTTAAAATATTTTATATATCCCTCCATGGAATATTTAAGTCCCACTTGAATGGTGGTCCTTCTGTGTCCAAAATTTATCAAAAAGCTATAGGGACAAGGTTTTCACACTGACAGCTGTCATTAGCAACTCCGTTTGTTTGTCCGAGTTTGCAACAGTAACTAAGGGGGGCGGGGCTTACCGATAGGTCAATTGAAAGGTTCTACACTCTTAAAAACAAAGGTTCCAAATGTGATGTCATAGAAGAACCATTTTGAATTCCCCAAAGTGAACAGTTCTTAAAGAGATAGTTGACCCAAAAATGAAAATTTACTGTTAATTTAGTCACCCTCAGGTCATCCAAGAAGCGAACTGTTCTCGCGTCTTGTACAGTGTAGGGCAAAAACACATAAACTAAGGTCTACATTTCACTGTCTCTTCATATTAAACTGGTTAAATGTAAATTAATTTAATCGTACCCTGTGATACATGAACATGATGTTGTCATCTGCAATCGTGACGACGGCAATATGCGACTTCTCCCGCTTGCATTGTAATCTGTAAACCCTCGCTTCCAAATTAAATACCCACAATATTTATTTTAAAATATTTTATATATCCCTCCATGGAATATTTAAGTCCCACTTGAATGGTGGTCCTTCTGTGTCCAAAATTTATCAAAAAGCTATAGGGACAAGGTTTTCACACTGACAGCTGTCATTAGCAACTCCGTTTGTTTGTCCGAGTTTGCAACAGTAACTAAGGGGGGCGGGGCTTACCGATAGGTCAATTGAAAGGTTCTACACTCTTAAAAACAAAGGTTCCAAATGTGATGTCATAGAAGAACCATTTTGAATTCCCCAAAGTGAACAGTTCTTAAAGAGATAGTTGACCCAAAAATGAAAATTTACTGTTAATTTAGTCACCCTCAGGTCATCCAAGAAGTGGGTGTCTTTTTTCTTCAGTAGAGCATTAAAGAAGATTTTTAGCTGAACCCACCATGGTCCTTGGTGATTCATAAAATGCAAGTCAGCAGCTACACGTTTTTGAGAATTAAAAAAAACATATCAAGGAGCTTAAAATTAATACCCGTGGTTCCTAGCGATATATTGAGGTCTTATGAAGCGAAACGATTAGTTTGTGCAAGAAAACTGAACATTATTTACAACATTATTACCTGTAATCTAGAGCCTTTCGGACAGTTCATATCTTGTTTAAATAACTTGAATAACTAATGACTCGATGCAACGTATACGCAACTATTAAAGAGCAGGTCATATGGGTTTTCGAAAAATATCTCTTTTGCAGTTTGTAAGGTAGCTATCCTTCAATGTAAACAGTCTGCAAAGTTGTTAATCAAAAAAGTAACCAATCACAACAGACTTAGCCAGCTGACCAATCAGGGCAGAGTAGGCTTATGGAAGGGAGGGGTTTACAGACATTTCGCTCAGAACTGAATCGAACGAACCGTTTTGAAATCATGGACAAATGACTATGTATAAATGTATATTCTGGGAAAATTACAGTGTTTTCTGACCTTAGATGCATTTAAACCTGTTGTAGGGGACTCCAACACAATATTAGGACACTTTAAAAAAACACATGACCTGCTCCTTAAAGCTCCCAATAAGGATGTGAAAAGCTGTACTTTTCTGAAGCATATCAAGTAAATAAACTAGTCTTCATCAGCTCACCTTTTTACATAAACAATAAGAAACCATAAAGACTTTCATTTTGCCCCTTGATTTAAGTGCTCGGTTCACACGTGCATATCAGCGGCTCATCAGTTCAGTGACTGCTGGAGGAACTGGAGCACTGAATGAGTTGGCAAAAACCAGCATTATAAGATTATATATGGCGGCATTTTGGCTCATTTCGAGTCAGAGTGACTGGCAGGCATCTGAAAGTGAGTTTTGATTGAGTAACTTGTAAATCTGTGCTGCTCGAGTAACTTGTAAATCTGTGCTGCTCGAGCCACAAACTGTTTCAGATGGTTCGGTCCGATTTGGTGAACTACTTCATCCAGTTCACTACAAAGAACCAATTCAAAAGAACGATTCGTTCACGAACCAGACATCAATCTGGACCGTTTGCCTGAGGCTCTGGATTACAGGTAATAATATTCAGTTTCTTGCACAGACCGATTGTTTCGCTTCATAAGACCTTCAGGAGCAACGGGAATTTCATTTTGTGCTGCTTGATATGCTTTTTTACTCTCAAAAACAGGCAGCTGCTGACTTGCATTTTATTAATCGACACCTCTTTCAGCTAAAAAAATCTTCTTTACTGTTCTACTCAAGACAAAAAATGTTATCTACATCTTGGATGGCCTCAGGGGGAGTAAATTAACAGCAAATTTTCATTTTTGAGTGAACTTTCGCTTTGAAAGAACCAAGAGTGAAGAACATTTGAATAATCTGAAGGACCTTTCACTACAAGGTTTTACTGATGTTAAAGATTCTTCATTGAACTACAGAAGCCCATAACAGATAGTGAATGGATCCATACCTTTTTAAAAGCTCGTGACGGAGGTTTCCTGATGGGTTTGGAGATCTCAGGTCGTTTGGACACCGAGCCATTGCCCTGTTTACTGGTGGACGGTGAAGGTGAAGGGCTCGTGGCTCCAGGGCTCATCCGGATGGCCATTTCCTCCGTGCAGGTGAGACGCAGGCTGCGAAAGTACTCATCAGTCTCTCGGTCAACCACCAGCAGTCTGGTCTCATGTTCCACGGCTTTGATCCGCTGCACCACCTGAGCGCAAGAGAAAGCAAAACTATAGGATGAGCTCTAAGTTAACTCCACTACAATTACATTCACACAGTGTTATTTGATCATCCTGTCAAAACTGGAGCTGCATACATGCCAAAATAACAGGACTTCAACATATGTTAGTATGTCTGAGCAGAAAGACAGATCAAGAATAACAGTAGTCGTTGAAACTAAGTAACACAAATAGCAAAACACAAATGAAAACCTTACACATGAGCTTCTCTGTCTAGGTCCCAACTCTGCTTAATCTTGTCATTCATCAAACAACTTTACAAGGTACATCCTGGGATGCTTTTAAACACTGCTGAGGAAGTTTTTATTGAGGCTGTTTCTTTCCCCTTCGGTACTGACTTTTGCATGAAATTTTTGTTTTATACGGATATATTCGTACATAGTCACAATTTATATTTTTAAACAAAACTAATTCCAAGCATTACACATATGCTAGCTCAAAACTTTTGTGATGCAAAGCTGAATTGTCAGCATAATTACTCCAGTCTTCAGTGTCACATGATCCTTCAGAAATCATTCTAATGATGATTTGCTGCTCAAGAAACATTTCTTTATCAATGCTAAAGACAACTGTGCTGCTTAGAAAGTTAGAAAGTTCAAAAGAACAGCATTTATTTAAAATACAAATCTTTTGTAACATTGTTTTATTGTCACGTTTGATCAATTCAATGCATCCTTGCTAAATAAAACTCTAACTCTTACTGACGCCAAACTTTTGAACATTTTAGCATATGTGACCCTGGAGCACAAAACCAGTCTTAAGTCGCTGGGGTATATTTGTAGCAATAGCCAAAAATACATTGTATGGGTCAAAATTATCGTTAGGATATTGATAAAAAATCATTAGGATATGAAGTAAAGATCATGTTCCATGAAGATATTTAGTAAATTTCCTACCTTAAATATATCAAAACGTACTTTTTGATTAGTAATATGCATTGCTAAGAACTTCATTTGGACAACTTTAAAGGCGATTTTCTCAATATTTCGATTTTTTTTGCACCCTCAGATTCCAGATTTTCAAATAGTTGTATCTCGGCCAAATATTGTCCTATCCTAACAAACTATACATCAATGGAAAGCTTATCTATTCAGCTTTCATATGATGTATAAATCTCAATTTAAAAAAAATTACCCTTATGACTGGTTTTGTGGTCCAGGGTCACATATAACTAATTAACAATCCACCGGTTCCACAGACAAGGCTTAAACCTAGTCCCAGACTAAAATGTAAGTCTGAGCTGTTTCAACTGAAAAAAAAAAAAAAAATTGCACTGATTGATCTTAAAATATATCAGTTCCTTTGCTTTGTCTCAAGATGGACACCAGTAATGTTTTTTTTTCTAAGGCAAGTTTATAAAAATTACTTAAATGTCCTAATTGAACAATGGCCTAATCCTGGCTTAGTCTAAGCCTTGTCTGTGAAACCAGGCCAAAATACATTAAATGTTTAATTACCTCCTAGAGCATTTTTACACACTGGTGTTAGCCTAGTACTAGCTTACACTCTTAAAAATAAAGGTTCCAAAAGGGGGTTTTCACAGCGATGCATAGAAGAACCCGTTTTGGTTCCCCAAAGAACCTTTCAGTGAACAGTTCTTAAAAAATAACCTTTTTTTTTAGTGTGAAGAACATTTTAATAATCCAAAGAACCTTTTTTCCACTGTAAGAACCTTTTGTGGAATGAAAAGGTTCCATGGATGGTAAAGGTTCTTTATGGAACCATTGGTGCCAATAAAGAACCTTTATTTTTTAAGTGTAGGCTACTATAAAATGGCATAGAAACGCGCATCGCAGCCAGTGTAAGGCGAGCTCTTGTGAGGGTGGAGCATGTGGGATCAGCACAGGTGTGTGATGTACCTGATGGTGTGTCTCTCGCTCCACGTTCTCGCCGTTCACCTCCACCACACGGTCACCCGCGCGCAGTCCCGACGCCTCCGCCGGGGACGCGCGCTCCACTTTCCGTATGTACTGTCCGGTTTTTCCTTTCTCTCCGTGCAGATGAAACCCGTAGCCGTTCTCTCCTTTCTTCATCACACACAACCGAGGCTTCAGATCGCTTGCCATTGTATTCCGCTTTCGCCTTCACATCCAAACTTGCAATAAAATCCAAGCGTTATTCTGATTTGTCGAAAACTTAATGCGAAGGTTTACAAACAAGCATCGTTAGCCTATAGGTTATTGCACAGTCCTGTTTTGCAAAAAAATGTGCATGCAAGTATCCGGCTCAGCGCATTAGTTAGAATAGACAAAAACCAAAATTATATGCTTCCGCAAGAAAAATGCAAAAGTGAAGCCGGCGAAGCAGACTGTGTAACTACCTGTGGATGTTCACAAACGCATCCAAAACTCCTCCATGAGACATTCTGCCAGTGCCCACGGAGAGAGAGACGCAACTGGTGCCGCTGTCCACTGACAAACTGCGTGGCGCGGAGTAAGACCGCCCATTCACAGCTTCAACAGAGATGCGCAGAGAAAAGTAGCCAAAGAGCCTTCGCAGCGATGCTGTCTGTCGGCGAGGCTTCTGCGTGCCTCATGAATATATGTGTGTAAACAACGACTTTAACACTGAAAAGCGGACACTAACTTTTACTATGTATAAAAAATAGTCTAAACACTATGCGAATAATACAGTTATTGAATTTAAAGGGAATTTGGGCATTTGAAGGAATTTCAAAAGTCTTCTGAATTACTAAATGTAAGGTAAAATAATTTTAAATGCGTCGAGGTTCGTCTTTCGCGACGCTTTAAGTTGGTTGGGGCAAAAATGCGTTTTAAGTTTAGAAACATTTTGCGTCTCCCCCTCCCTTGCCTCACAGTGCTTTGGTCCAAATGCGTGCTTTCCTCTTTTACATCACCTACACACACACAAGTCCGGTGAGAGAGAACAAAGCTAATAGTTGTGGAACTATTCTGTTAAGTCTGTCAAGGCTATTTTATTCACTTAAACATCTCTTTAAAACAGATGATGTCAATGTACTTTTTCGATGAGCCCGCTATGTTAGCAATAATAACGTTACCTGCTTGAGGGAAAGGGTTGCCAGGTTTTCACAACAAAACCCGCCCAATTGCTACTCAAAACTAGCCCAAACTATCCGCGTTACGGGGGCTAAAATACACGTTATTGGGGTTGCTTCATCCCGCGGACAAGAAAAACAACCTGAGACAACAGTGATAAAGTAGCTCATTTCCGCGGGAAAACCGGGGACTTGGCAACACTGTGACCAATAGTAACGTCCACAACGGACAGGAGCGCTGTCGCGGCGCCACCACATCAACTTTAAGTTGTCTAATTTGGCACGGTCTCCCTGCCGCAGTAATACACTGAAAAAAATTATTCATTGAATTTACTTAATTTTTTTTAAGGTAAGTGGTTGCAATCAATTTATTTTAGCTACATTTAAATAAACAAATTTAGTTGACTAACTTTCAACATGTTTTTTTTTTTAAATGTAACTAAAATAAATGGTTTGCAACCTCTTACCTTGAAAAAAATGATACTACATTTTTTAAGTGTAGTAGTAAGCCATTCCTCTGTGTATACATATCCTTACAAGTACTATTTTAGCTGTATTATTTGTGTCCCCTTCAAAAATTGCTCTTGAGAAATTGTTTATTGCCCCCCCCCCTACTTTTAGACTAAATTTACTCCCGTGTGTTGTCATTTATTAGTTATTGATTAGTCATTGATAGTAATTACTAGCTATTGATTTGTTTAAATATCTATCTATCTATCCTTTAAGGTTCATTAAATGAAAACTGAAACCATAAACATTGTAGTTACTTGAAATAAAATAATCATTATCTGAAAAAAGTAAAATATGAAATATAAAAATATAACATATATATGGTTTAAAAATGCTAAATAGCAGGCTTTATAAAAAAAGCGTCTATCCTAGACTTTTCTGTAGGTTCCCCCAATTCTTTTTTGAAGGGTATAAGATGTCATTAAACATTTTTGTTATAAGCCAAATTGCTTTACAAATGCATACAGTATGTATTTTTAATAAATTGATTTTAAGATATTGTTTCTTATAGTCTCTCTTGGAATCACAGAACTGAGATGCAGGAACATGTTGGGACTGCAATTTACAAAAGAGCAATATGTAAAAAGTGCGGAGCAAAATGATGGCCCATCACTGGCTACTTGCATGTGTTAGACTGCTGGCAAATAGGAAGATTAAGACTCAAACATGTCTTGGTCATGTGATTTGAGCAGATTTGGACTGCAATATCACTGGGGTCATACAGAAACTGCAGTAAAAATGAGCTTACATAAAGCAAAACGATGATCTACAACTGAAAATGAATCATTCATAATGCTTCCAGACTTGTATGATATTCATTCCTCCATAAAAACGGGTACTTTAAAAATATAAAACTATTTACATTTTTTTAGGTGAACTTTTAACCCCTCAACTTTTAAAACATAAATAAAATTAAATAAATAATACAAATACCATCAAAATTACAATTCTTTACTGGCACAATTCATAGTACTGTAGCCATTTTATAACAACAACAACAAAAAAACAAACTAAATATAAACAGACCAATATGCATTGAAAAGCATTTTTACAAAAACACACTGCACAAAGTCCCATCTCTTAGCTAAATTTCCATAAAATAAATAGTCATGAACAAATCCATAGTATTTTACAAACAGACTCTTTTAGGTCAACACAGCGTTGACGACGCGGTTCAATAAACGAACCCCTGACTTTTCAAACATATCCAATGAATCACACAGGACTTGTGCAACTTACATTTCCTTTATAAAGACATAACAGGGCATTGTCTACTTGAACTAAAATGCTTAAAAACACAAAAAAAGGAAAAAGATGATGGGGCAAACCCCTTTTATGTAAAATAAACACTGATATAAGTCGATTAAAAAGGTTTAATTACAATAAGTTACATTCCTGCAGCGAATCGTGACTGTGATATGACTCCTGACGAGAGAAACAAACAAGTGAGTGTTTTATGTCCAGTTTTGTTCAAATGCACACATATTAGTCCACATACTCACATACGGTCCATAAACATCCATTCCTTTCTCTGGAGAAACCATCTGAGGTCAAACCAGTGTCTCCTGCAATTTATGGCTGTTATGAGTTTATTTCTTAATGTAAAAAAAGCATGAAATGAAGTGTCTGTTGGGTGAAAACTTGCCTGGGTCATATTCCACCCTATAAAAAAATATAAATAATATGTATATATATATTATAGTAATATACATATTTTTAAAATTATTAATGTATTTCCACTCTCAATAATATTGCAAAGGTTCTGTATTACAATATATTTTTTAAATGTATTACAATAAAAAAAAAAAACACTCAAATTAGTACAATTTTAACAGTAGAACAAATGCAATCATAATGTTAAAAAAGTTAAAACGGTTTAAATAATACATCTTTTTTGCATTACAGTAATGAGAAAGCTCATCTTAATTAGCCTTTTTTAAAAATTTTTTTTTTTTTAAGGAAAAATGCTTATTTTTGAAGAAAATAATAATGTCACAATGCAAAAAAATCTTAGTAGCCCTAAAAGTAGGATTCATTCAGTAAATGATTTGAGGTAAAACATGACCCAGACATATCCTCATTGGGTTGGGTGAGCTTAACTGGTTTAGTGGTTGTAAAGGTTTTATAAACTCACAAATACTCCCTCTTATAGCAGACGGCCACCTCAAAGCGGCAGTGACCGGTGGACTTCACTCCTCTCTGTACATTCTGAAAACAAAGGAAAAACATTGTACACAGAATGAGAGAAGCGTGTTCTGTCTGAAGGCACAGATACCTCTACGGGTGAGAGCGTATGGGGCAGAAGCGTAACACAGGGCCCAGCCGCAAGGGCATGAATCAGTGCAAGAACAGGCACTCGGGAAGGAAATGAGTGGGAATCCTTCCCGCTGTGCTCCTTGTAACTCTGTTTCGTATTAGAGTCTTAAAAATGTGTCTAGCAAGCCCAGTCTCATCCGTGCTGAGTCAAAGACTGAGTGTTTCCTGTATGTACATAAAGGGTTATATAGTAATGTACAGCGGGCCTGATTACGGAGTGTGAGGTTTGCCGTGAACTCTGAAGCGATACAGGCAGGTGTATTCGGGATGACCCCAGTTCGACAGCACTCGCATCTCAATGATCTGAAAGGCCTGGTCGCTCTTCTCCTGGAAAAAAAAAGCAAAGTGAAACGTGCTCAGAATTTCACTGTAGCTCTATTCCAAAAGCTAGTAAGCAGCATATGAACTAAAACAAAATTAAATGACTGGTGTGGAACATAAAGAGCACGGAAGACTCGATTCACCATTTATTCCAACATAGTTTGACAGCAGCATATGGCTAAGCTAATAAAACTTGATTTTATTACTAGCTTGTTGCAATGCATGCTGGGATAGCTTTCCCTGAAAATGATACATTCAATGCTGAATTTGGCCCAAAATAAAAACTCACTATTTTTCTTCTGTTGCTGCCTACCTTTTGAGAAATCCTCGTTTTATTTCTTTCCAAAATGTAGTTATATTTTTGATAAAAATGTTTTGAATCCATTTTATTTGTTCAATTAAATGTTATTAACCAATAAGGATTTAACAATTGAATCATCTACTAAAATTTTAACAATAATAGTGCCCTATGAAATGTGTGTTTTTTTTGGGCCGTTTTAATTTTTCTGAGTTTTTTCTGAGTTAGTACAAATTTATTATCAAAAACAATGGTAATAAAATGAATGCATAATATTTGAACAATTTAATAAATCTTTTAAAATATAAACCAACTGAACAATTCCTTTCATTTTTTGGCAAACAAAGTGCTGCACAACAGAGGTTTACTGTTTAAATGAAAACAAGGATGAAAAAAGGAGTGAAATTAATTAAAAATTATCATTATTATTGTTTTTTTTACTATGAGAAGTACATTCTACTGTAAAATAGCAATATATAGTATTTCTTTCATAATTTCTTATTCATTAGAATTTGGCCAAATCCAAAATGAAACATTCCATGTTATACAGTAAATTCTATTTTAATGACTGGATTCTGCAATTCTGCTCATTCCGTATGTACATATTTTACCATAACTGGAAAGATCTGGAGTGATGATCCATCTTCTTCATAGGTGTAGTCACCCAGCAGTTTCCCTTCCTCCTGGTATTCATCATCCAATCCCTGTGGATACAGACAGCAACATGGGATTATACACCAGCACTTAACACAAAAACTCAT